TTACGAGGAAAAGCTCTCAGTTTTTCACCATTGAGTATGATGTGAGCTCTGTGTTTTTCACATAGGCCTTTATTATGTTGAGGTATGTTCCCTCTAAACCTATTTTGTTGGTCATTTTTGTCACAAATGGATATTGTACTTTGTCAGTTGTGTTTTATGCATCTACTGAAATGATCATATGGTTTTTTAGAAAAATAATTTTTTATGTAAATTCAATTAGCCAACATATAGTAAGTACATCATCAGTTTCAGATTTAGTTTTCAATAACTCTTCATTTGAGTGAGTATAACACCCAGTGCTCATCACATCATGTACCCTCCTTAATGCCCATCCCTCAGTTATCCCATCTCTTCACCCAGTTCCTCTCCAATAGCCCTCAATTTGTTTCCCAGAGTTAAAAGTCTTTCATGGTTTGTTTCCCTCTGATTTCTTCCTATCCTCTTTTTCCCTTCTTTCCCCTATGATCCACTGTGCTCTTATATTCTTCATATGAGTGAAACCATATGATAATTGTCTTTCTCTGATTGTCTTCTTTTGCTCAGTGTAATGCCCTCCATTTCCGTCCATATTGATGTAAATGGTAAGATTTCATCCTTTATGATGGCTAATATTCCATTGTATAAATATATACCACATTTTCCTTATCCATTCATCTTTTTTAAAAAATATTTTCTTTATTTATTCATGAGAGCATGAGACAGAGAGAGAGAGAGAGAGAGAGAGAGAGAGAGGCAGAGACACAGGCAAAGGGAGAAGCAGGCTCCAAGCAGGGAGCCCGACATGGGACTCAATCTCAGGCCGAAGGCAGGCACTAAACTGCTGAGCCACCCGGGCTGCTTCCATTATTTTTGAAGGCCATCTCGGTTCCTTTCACAGTTTGGCCATTGTGGACATTGCTGCTATGAACACTGGGATGCAGATACCCTTTTGTTTCACTCATTCTGTATCTTTAGGGTAAATATCCATTAGTGCAATTGCTGGGTCATAGAATAGCTCTATTTTTAACTTCTTGAGGAACCTCCACACTGTTTTCCAGAGCAGCTGTACCAGCTTTATTTCCCACCAAAAGTGTAAGAGGGTTCCCCTTTCTCCACATCCTCACCAACATTTGTTGTTTCCTGTCTTGTTATTTTTAGCCATTCTAACCGGTGTAAAGTGGTACCTTATTATGGTTTTGATTTGTATTTCCCTGAGGCCAAGTGATGTTGAGCATTTTTTCATGTGTCTGTTGGCCATTTGTATCTGTTCTTTGGAGAAATGACTGTTCATGTCTTCTGCCAATATCTTGACTGTATTTTTGTTTTTGTGTGTGTGTGTGTTGAGTTTGAAGCAGGCTCCATGCAGAAGCCTGACTTGGGACTTGATCCCAGGACTCCAGGATCATGCCCTGGGCCGAACGCAGGCGCTAAACCACTGAGACACCCAGGGATCCACAAGTTTGATAAATTCTTTATGGATCTTGGTTACTAGCCCTTTGTCTGATATGTCATTTGCAAATATCTTCTCCCATTCTATTGGTTGCCTTTTAGTTTTGTTGACTATTTCCTTTGCTGTGCAGAAGCTTTTTATCTTGGTGAATTTTGCTTTTGTTTCCCTTGCCTTTAGAGAGGTGTTCTGCAAGAAATTGCTCTGGCCAAGGTCGAAGAGGTTGCTGCCTGTGTTCTTAGGATTTTGATGGATTCCTATCTCACATTTATATCTGTCATCCACTTTGAGTTTTTCTTTGTGTATGGTCTAAGAAAATGGTCCAGTTTTATTCTTCTGCATGTGGCTGTCCAGTTTTCCCAACAGCATTTATTGAGGAGACTGTCTTTTATCCATGGGATATTCTTTCCTGCTTTGTTGAAGATTAGGTGACTATAGAGTTGAGGATCCATCTCTGGGTTTCTGTTTTGTTCCATTGGTCTATGTGTCTGTTTTTGTGCCAGTACCATACTGTTTGACTACCACAGCTTTGTAATGTACCTTGAAGTCAGGCATTGTGATGCTCCCAGCTTTGGTCTTCTTTTTCAACATTACTCTGGCTATTCAGTGTCTTTTCTGATTCCATACAAATCTTAAGATTATTTGTTTCCACTCTGTGAAAAATATCTATAGTATTTTGATAGGGATTGCACTGAGTGTGTGGATTACTTTGGGAAGCATTGATCATTTTCACAATATTTATTTTAATCCATGAGCATGGAATGTTTTTCCATTTCTTTCTGTCTTCCTCAATTTCTTTCACAAGTGTTCTGTAGTTTTTAGAGTACAGATCCTTTGCCTCTTTGGTTAGATTTATTCCTAGATATCTTATAGTTGGGGGTGCAATTGTAAATGGGATTGATTCCTTAATTGCTATTTCTTCAGTCTCATTGTTAGTGTATAGAAATGCACCTGTCTTCTGTGCATTGATTTTGTATCCTGCCACATTGCTGAATCGCTGTATGAGTTCTAGCAATCTTGGGGTGGAGTCTTTTGGGTTCTCCATATACAGTATTATGTTATCTGTGAAGAGTGAGAGTTTGACTTCTTTTCTGCCAGTTTGAATGCCTTTTATTTCTTTTTGTTGTCTGATTGCTGAGGCTGGGACTCCTAGTACTATGTTAAATAACAGTAGTGAGAGTGGACATCCCTGTTATGTTCCTGATCTTAGGGGAAAATCTCTGTTTTTCCCGTTAAGAATGATATTCACGGGCAGCCCCAGTGGCGCAGCGGTTTACCGCCGCCTGCAGCCCAGGGCGTGATCCTGGAGACCTTGGATTGAGTCCCGCGTTGGGCTCCCTGTATGGAGCTCACTTCTCCCTCTGCCTGTGTCTCTGCCTCTCTCTCTCTCTCTGAATGAGTAAATAAATAAATCTTAAAAAAATGATATTCACTGTGGGCTTTTCATAGATGGCTTTTAAGATATTGAGGTATGTTCCCTCTATCCCTACACTGTGAAGAGTTTTTAATCAAGAAATGATGCTGTATTTTGTCAGATGCTTTTTCTGTATCAATTGAGAGGATCATATGGTTCTTGTCTTTTATTAATGTGATGTATCATGTTGATTGATTTGTGAATATTGAACCACCTTTGCATCCCAGGAATAAATCCCACTTGGTCATGGTGAGTAATATATATATATATTAAAGATTTTATTTATTTTTTTCATGAGAGACACACAGAGAAAGGCAGAGACCTAGACAGAGGGAGACGTCTGTCTCCCCGCAGGGCGTCTGATGTGGGACCCGATCCCAGGACACTGAGATCATGACCTGAGCCAAAGACAGATGCTCAACCACCAAGCCACCCAGGTACCTCGTGAATAATCCTTTTAATGAACTGTTGGATCCTATTGGCTAGTATCTTGTTGAGTATTTGACATCCACGTTCATCAAGGATATTGGTCTGTAATTTTCTTTTTTGAGAAAAATGGCTGTTTGATATTGGGATCAAGGTAATGCTGGCCTCAAAAAACGAATTTGGAAATTTTCCTTCCGTTTCTATTTTTGGAAACAACTTCAGTAGAGTAGGTATTATTTCTTCTTTAAATGTTTGGTAGAACTCCCCTGGAAAGCCATCTCGCCCTAGACTTTTTTGTGTGTGAGGTTTTTGATGACTCCTTCAATTTCCTTGCTGGTTATTGGTCTGTTCAGATTGTCTATTTTCAGTTTTGGTAGTTTATAAGTTTCTAGGAATGCATCCATGTCTTCCTGATTGCCTAATTTGTTGCCATATAGTTGCTCATAATATGTTCTCAAAATCGTATGTATTTCCTTGGTGTTGGTTGTAATCTCTCCTGTTTCATAATTTTATTAATTTAAGTCTTTTTTCTTTTGGATATGTCTGGCTAGGGTTTTATCGATCTTATTAATTCTTTCAAAGAACCAGCTTCTAGTTTTGTTTATCTGGTCTACTGTTCTTTTGGTTTCTTTTTCATTGACCTCTGCTCTAGTCTTTATTATTTCACTTCTTCTGCTAGATAGAGTACCCTGGGCTATAGATTTTCCTCTTTTGACACTTTTTTTGTTTTTATTTTTTTCCAGATTTATTTCTTTATTTTCAGAGAGAGAATAATAAAGAAGGTAGATGGATGGAGGGGCAGATGGAGAGGGAGTGAATCTCCAGCAGACTCCCAACTGAGTGTAAAGCCTGATGCAAAGCTTGATCCCAGGAGCCTGTGATCATCACTTGAGCAGAAACCAAGAGTCAGATGCTCAACTGCCTGAGCCACTGAGGCTCCCCCTGTGCCTTGAATATATCACGTCACTTTCTTCTGGCCTGAAAAGTTTCGGTTGAAAAATCTGCTGATAGGCTTATGGGGTTTTCCTTGTATGTAGCTGTAGATGTTTTCTTTTATCCTAGTTCTTTTAGAATTCATTTTTTGTAATTGCTTTTTGTCATTTTAATTACTGAGTGTCTTGTTGTGGACCTCCTTGGGTTGATTTTTTTGGCGGTTCCCTCTGCCTCCCTGATCTGAATTTATGCTTCTTTCCCCAAATTTGAGAAGTTTTCAGCCTTTATTTCTTCAAATAAAATTCTGCCCCCTTTGCTCTCTCTTCTTCTTCTGAGATTCCTTTAATGCAAACATTATTACACTTAACAGAGTCAACTGAGTCTCCTAAAACTATTCTCATTTTGCATAATTTTTTCCCTCATCTACTTAGCTTAGTTATTTTCCATTACTCTGTCCTCCAGGCTATTGATTTATTCTTCTGCTTCTTCTAGTCTGCTCTTTATCCCATCTGCTATTTTAATTTCAATTATTGTGTTCTTCATCTCTGATTGTTCCTTTTTATCTCTTTTTTTTAAGTGTCCCACTAATGTCCTCTACTCTTTTCTCAAGTTGAATGAGTCTTTATTATCATTACTTTAAATTCTCGATAGGGCATATTGCTTATCTCTGTTTCACCTAAGTCTCTTGCTATAATTTTACCCTATTCTTTCATTTTTGATATATTCTTCTGTTTGCTTATTTTGTCTAAGTCTCTTGTCTGTTTTTGTGTGTTAGGAAAGTCAGCTACATCAGTTGCTCTCAAAAATATGGAACACTTCATGTATTTGTGTGTCATCTTTGAGCAGGGGCCATGCTAATCTTTCTTTTCTTTTTTTTAAGATTTTATTTATTTATTAGAGTCACAAAGAATGAGGGGGGGGGGGCAGAGACACAGGCAGAGGGAGAAGCAGGCTCCATGTATGGAGCCCAAGGTGGGACTCGATCCCGGGTCTCCAGTATCACGCCCTGGGCTGAAGGCAGCGCTAAATCACTAAGCCACTGGGGCTGCCCCATGCTAATCTTTTCTGTACAGTTCCAGTTTTTTAGTATATGTGCTTCCAAAGTGAGTACTTTAGTTCCTTTTTTGAAGTTGCCTTATCAAGTTGAATGAAACTCAATTTTATAAGCTTCCTTTCATTGTATAATAGAGAATTTCTCTGCTATTTTTCCTGAGTTCTTATGAGGGAGCTTCTTTCTAAATCCTTAGAATTTTCTTAGTGACAGGAGTGTTCTTGTTATTCACTGTGGGGCCTCAGCATTACCTCTGAGTTTATACTAACTCCTGGTGGGACCTTAGATGTTAGCATTGGGACTGACCAAGTTGGAAAAAGAAACTGTATAATTAGAGGATTGAGCCTTTGGTTCAGGGGATATTAACCTGACCTCCTGGCCTCTGGGGAAAAGAGAGGGGCTGGAGATTGAGTTCTGTCATGTGCTCAGTGATTATTACACCAAGGTTTAGTTGAACCCTGATATACATACATTGATGTGCTGGGAGCGTTACATGTCCTAGAGACATAGATGCTTTGTGGTTCTTAACCTCGTAGACCTTGATCTCTTCATTTGGGTCTTTTTGACTTGTGTTCTTTGTAATGCAACTTTAATCCTAAGTATAGCAGTTTCTTGAGTTCTGTGGATTATTCTAGTGAATTTATATGCAGCTCCAAGTCATTTATAGGACAGCAGTTATTTTCAGATCTTAATTGTTTTCTTGTGTATATATTTCTCTTGGCCAGACTCTAGAGGGGAGGAGAGTCAGTCAGCATGGGATTTGGGCAGAAAAGTTGCCTCAGTCCCTTGATTACCTCGATGACTTCTGATTTTTATTGTGATGTTGCAGACTAAGTATTATGTTATTATTCCATTTTACAGATGAGGAAGGTGAAACTTACAGATATTGGGAAGGAGTTATTATAGTTAAAACTCAAGGCTCTTACTGTGTATCATAGATGTGCCCTAAAAATTTCAATTGTATGAACTGTTACATTATTACTTATTACTTCTATGTTGTCCTTCCTAACCCATAGTCATAATAGTAACAAAATGGCTAGCATATGTATTATTTAATAATTGCTAAGAATTTTTCTAAGTTAGTGTGTACGTATGTGCATGTATGCATGTCTTGGTCTGTTTGGCTCCTATAACAAAATTCTGAAGACTGTATGGTTTATAGACAACAGAACTTTACTTTTCACCATTCTGGGGTCTGGGAAGTCCAAAATCAAGGCACAGGAAGATTCAATGTCTGGTGAGGGCCCACTATTGTCAAGGGAGTTCTCTGATGCCTCTTTTATAAGAACACTAATTCCATCCTAATGACCTGATCACCTCCTAAGAGCCATACCTCTAAATATCATCACACAGTTGAGAAGTGGTGAAATCAGTATTTGAATCTAAGTTGATTGGCTGTGGTGTTCATATTCTTAGTCACTAAAGTATAATGCTTCTTAGAAAAATTGTGACAGCTGCTAATATACTGGGACAATCACTGTGTGCCAGGCATAACACATGCCTGTGTTACCGTATTTAATTTCCTTTGCCATCTCGTACTAGAAACTATTATTAACCCATTTTTTTAGATGAGGAAGCCAAACTACAGAGATGTTAAATACTTGCTCAAGGCTATCAAGTTGGTTTAGCAGAGCTCACACTGCTGTGCAAAAGAATCATCCCAGTTCTCTAACTTGCTCAAGGAAGAATATTTAGGTTGACAAGACTGGCCAAGGGGAGGGTAGTTTCCCCTTTGTGGACCTTGTAGAAAGAAAAAGAGAGAAATGAGTAGGGGTACTATTGAGAATTGCTCACATATGCTCTTAAGTTAAGACACCAGAGATAATTCATAGATGGGAAGACATCCCTGAGTTACTTGTGGCCAACATTAGAATAGTAAATCCTCCATCCTTGTGGGAATATGTGTTGAGGAGCTCCTTTCCAGTTTACAGTTCTGAGAGGATTGTCAAGTGCCTGGTGTTCCTCTTGTTTCTGCCTCTCCAGGCAGCCAAAAGACAGATTAGGCTGCAGTTTTTGCTGAAGATGGCCATTCTGCAGGTTGTTCATACATGTGATAGGTGTATTTCTTTTTCTCACGCCATTGTGCTGTGTACAGGAATTACTGACTTACACCCTCTCTGTCACATCTTTTCTACTTTCACAGTCTCTGTTTACAGATCCTAGAGGATCAAACCTTACGTTTATAAAACTGCAACTTAACAGGCTTTTACCATGAAAGGAAGACAAACCTTTTAAAATATGTATCTTTTAATTGTTTCATTTAGGAAGAGAAAGAATAAACTATAAATAATTTTTACACGGTTGTGTACACAGATAATTATTTCTCTAAAAAGAGTAATAGAGACAACAAAGTATGCCTAGTGGGGTACACAGCAGTGTGCTGGCAATATTGATCTGGGGACTGGAAGCTTGTTATCAGATAAGAAATTAAAAGGAAGAACCGTGCAGCTCACTCATACTCTGCGTGAGCACATGGCATCTGTGCTCCAGGTTCAATGCTGGCTTCCCATCTGCTTGGTGACACAATTTAAGGAGTCAAGGTGGAGACTGTGATCTATGAGCTCATGGTGATTGGATCTTCACTCCTGAACTGTGCCTCTTTCTCAGCAGGGGCTGGTGACAGCTGAAATACTGAAGTCCTCTTGGGAAGAATTCTATATCGGGACTCTTCAGGCAGGGAGGTCCCAGGAGAGGGCCATCAGAGGTAGAATGAATGTCCTTTTTATCCTGCAGCAGCCTAAATCTGTTGACTTTCACTGGCCCCTGGCAGAGTTGTCAGGCACTAACATTTGGCTTAATTTAGTGATGACAGTTCCGGAATAAGGGGAGGTAGGTAAAAGCCAAATTGACAGGGGAATGGGCTCAGCGTCCTTTCTTCTTTTCTTGTTTCCCACTCCAACACCTCCTCTTGAGTTTTCTTTCTCAGTTAACTTTGTTAGTTGGTCCCAGCACCATCTATGCTGTCATCCTGTCTGGTAGCCCTGGAATCATTTTCTACTTCTTTCTTATTTTCCATGTCCATTAGCCATCTCAGTCTGGCATGTGACTCTTGAACCTTTTTTTCAGAAGAGACCATCCCTTCTGTTATTGAGATCTGTCCTAGATCAGATTATTCTCATAAGAGAGCTTCCTAACCAGTTTCTCTACCATCAGTGTAGCCTTCTCCAATTTAAGAACAACACAGATTCCAGAATGGTTTTTCTAAAGTGGTGGCTCTCAAACTTTTCTGCATATCTGTATGACCAGGGAGCTTTTAAAACTAATGTCCAGACCATACCTTATACCATTAAATCAGGATCTCTTTGAGTTGGACCTTGGCAGTGGCATTTTTCTATATCTCCCTGAATGAATCCAGTGTATGGTCATATCTAAAATCATTGTCTGATCATATCTAATTCTGTTTTTCTTGCTCAGAAATTTTTAATGGCTTTTCCTTACCTGCAGAATTGAAAGCTTGTATTCCTTAACGTTGAATTTCTAGCCCTTTATGATCTGGCCCTAACTACTATTTTTGTTTATTTGTTTTTAATTCTTTATTTAAATTCAATTTAATTAACATATACTGTATTATTAGTTTCCAGGGTAGAATTTAGTGATGCATCAGTTGCATATAACATGCAATGCTCATTATATCAAATGCTCTCTTAATGCTCATTCCCTACCAGCAACCCTCAGTTTGTTTTCTAGTTTCTAGACATGTGATGGTGTAGTTTTTCCTCATGCCATTATGCTGTGAACAGGAATTACTGACTTATACCCTCTCTGTCACATCTTTTCTACTTTCACAGCCTCTGTTTATAGATCCTAGGGGATCGAAATTTACTTTGACAAAACTGCAACTTAACACGCTTTTGCCATGAGATGAAGATATAAATCTTTTTAAAAATACATCTTTTAATTGTTATATTTGGAAAAAGAAATGAATCTCACCTCCAGCAACCCTAGTTTGTTTTTCTAGAGTTCAGTATCTCTTATGGTTTGGCTCCCTCTATATTTTCATCTTATTTTATTTACCCTCCCCCATGTTCATCTGTTTTGTTTCTTAAATTCTACATATGAGTGAAATCATATGGTATCTGTCTTTCTCTTACTGGCTTAATTCACTTAATACCCTCTAGTTACATCTGTGTTGTTGCAAATGGCAAGATATCATTTCTTTTTGATGGCTGAGTAATACTCCATTATATATATGTGATATATATATGTGATATATATTATGTCTACCATCAATGTAACACATATAATATATGTGATATGTTTTATATATATATATATATATATATATATCACATCTTTATTCATTCATCTGTTGATGGACATCTAGGCTCTTTCCATATTTTGGCTATTGTGGACATTGCTGCTATAAACATTGGGGTGCATGGGCCCCTTTGAATCTCTATGTTTGTGTCCTTTGGATAAATACCTAATAGTGCAATTGCTGGGTCAGAGGTAGTTCTATTTTAAAAATTTTGAGGAACTTCCATACTGTTTTCTAGAGTGACTGCACCAGTTTATGTTCCCATGACAGTGTAGAAGGTTTTGCTTTTCTCTGCATCCTGGCCAACATCTGTTGTTTCCTGAGTTCCTCACCACTATTTTTAATCCTTTCTCTGCATCATTCTAGTTCTGGCTCTAATCTACTATCTTGGGTTACTCATTATTCCTTTCGGGTGCCATGCCCTTTCTTGCCTCAATGATCTTGCTCATACTTTTTCTTCTTCTAAGATTTCTATTCTGTCATTCATTGATCCAGACAGTATTTTTACTATTTGCTATGTTAAGACACCCTGTCAGACAATGGTGAACAAAAGAGGATGCTGTCCTCAGCCTCTTAGATCTTAGAGATCTACTATAA